ACCTCTCTTTGTGACTTCCTCTCCATCCATCAATTATCCTTGTCTTGGCCCACCCTCACAAACCCCTCAGCCCACCTGTTCCTGCGGCCCAGCTCTCATCCTTTCCATCACATCCAAAACAGCTGTGACCACCACTCTACCTCCTTCACACAGTTCTTACCCAATCACATCTAAACCTGATCTCCTCTCTTTCACCCCACGTGACAGGTTGTCCTAACCAGCTAAGTGCTAGATTAGCAGCATTACCTCTAAGTCAGTCTCTCTCTCTCTCTCTCTCTCTCGATCAGGGCAAGCCTGGTCAGCTGAGCGTTTTCGTCACATGCCTCAGCTGCTCGAACAAAAGTGAAACAAGTCTGAACATAGTTATACAAAATGCACTTGTTTAACTCATCCAATTATAACCTTCACACACCTACTCTTTCAGATCGTTTAAGTTGTTGTTTTTTCAGGCAGTGTATCAAGTTTATCAAGCTAAGACATCTCATTTGGATACAGTTACATGATTACTGAAGCACATAGTGTCCTTTAAAAGTTGTTATTTATTGTGTACGTGAAACAAGATAGAAGTGAGCAAGAGACAAAACATCTCAAACAATTTCCTGCACGATTTTGATAATGAGACTGAGGAGTAAACTTTCCCAGCACCACCATGATGATCTGTGCATGTGCTGGTTCTGAGACAGGCAGTGTGTGTGTGTGTGTGTGTGTGTGTGTGTGTGTGTGTGTGTGTGTGTGTGTGTGTGTGTGTGTGTGTGTGTGTGTGAATGGCAGTGGGGGAAGTCAGTGAGGGGAGGCAGATCAGGGGGAGGGTGTGACTCTGGCCTGCTGGACCATAGCAAGAGAACAGTATGTAGGACAAGGCCCTGCACTAGCTAACCTATCCGGGCGAGAGCCGTGGTTGGGCGTGCTTAATTTCTGCATGCATGATCAATGGCACTGAATAAAAAAAGAGAGGAGAAAGACAGCGGCATGGGGGAGGGGATGCACAAGTTAGAGCACTTTGATAAGGTAGAATAAGGCGAAAACACTTGTTATGATATTCAAAAAAAGTATATTTAGTATGTGTATTCTTAATTTAAACTAGCTTTAGCTTTTGAGCAAGTTTGGCTAACTTTTTCATGCCTAAAAGCAACTTTTATACATTGTGGGTAGGTGATGTGTGAGAGAGGTTTTTAGTACGCTCACATTGCACTTTTTACTCCAGCCTTTTCTCTATCCCATCTCCCTCTCTCTGTCTTGTTGTCACTCTGTCACCTTAAAACACTGTGATAGTTTGTCCAACCCAAGTCTTCAGTGCTTTTGTTTCCTTGACCACTGCTGACCCAGAGTGGGAATCCATTGTCTGTGAGCGACCTCTGACCTGCCAGGGCCTGGGACCTGCTCTCCACCACCCTCGAGGCACAGTGAAAGAGAGTTGAGAGGGGGATCAGGAGAGAAAAGGGTTCAAATGGCGACTTCTGACCATCTGAAAAGCTGGAAGCCGAGCTGTATGTTTGGGCAGCAGCAGTCTTTAAAGCCAGGAGCCAACATTTGCATGTGATGCAAAATGTAAACAGGTAACAAGTAGTTCCAGGAAGACCTCATAGAACTAAACGCAGGCAATGGATAATGAAAAGGGATACGAATGGAATGTTTGTCTATGGATAAAGACATACAGAACAAGCACAAAAAGTTTTTAAAAGCGGAAGCCAGGAGGCCATTTTAAAGTACCCCGTTTGCTGTGGGTGTTTTTTCCACCTGGCAGGTGGCAAGCTAAAGAAATCATTACATGAGAGAGGAGAAGGGAGGAAACAAGCACACCTGTGGTTGCGGCAGGAGCTCCACCTCCGCTCTCCGATCACAATCCCTCCACCCCCCAGGGGAAGGTGTGGCAAAGGGAGAGAGACAAAGGGAGGAGAGAAAGGGAGAGGAAGGAAGAGATTGTGGGGGAGATTTACAGGCCTCATCATCAGTTGACTGAAGGTTGAGTTAACTTTTTATTAATCGTGCACACACACAACAAGCTGGACTGACGGTGCTGGAAGGATCCGAGAGGCTTTGGGCTTTCTGCGAGTACACACAGACCACAACCTATTTACCCTGATGACACAAGACTATTTCTGTCTGACGGCTGTATGAATGCAAGCAGCAGCGGAGATCTACGTTGTAATACCACACAGACTGTTGGGCGGATAAACACAGGGAAATGCACACATACACAAAGGTTTCTGGTTACAAATCCGGAGAGACCTAACACTTAAAGACAGATTGCCAATACTGCACTTGCCACCATGGAGATTGGTAGGGGAGTCACAGTTTGTTATTGCACTGTCTATTCATCACTGCTGTACTGAGTGCATTATTAACCCCCTGATAACTAATTATCTGCTATCTTCCGTCACAGCTACAGAGCTTTGCTTGCCATGACATTAAATTACAGCATCCCTTCAATCCACAATGAGATGTTCATTCACAGTTGTCACATACTGGCTCTTGAACTCTCTTCATTGACTGGATGAGAGTTCGTAAAGATAGTAGTGATGATGAATTTATTTTTTGTACTTCTGAAATGACATTTTATATTTACCTGCACCATGCTCAGCTCAACACAACTTCCTGTCTGCCCTGACCTCTTTCACATTTGCGATGATGTCACTATTGCAGTTGCTGGAAATGACATCATGACACAAACAGATGGAGTCACAACCATCTTTGAGACCGTCGTCTTGCCGACCTGAACGAGAGGCCTGTGCCGTGACTCATCATCTCTTTATCGGAAGATGTGCTGCGGGTAATGTAGTGTTAACACATGATGGATTTCACGCCAGGGCCTTGGAGCAGGACGGAAGAAAGGGAGAGTGAGAAACAGGACAGAGAGAGGACGAAGAAGTGAGTAAAAGAGAGAGGGGATTAATGTTTTTTTTAAGGGGGGGGGTTAAGAGAAGGTTTCGGTTGTAGCAAGAAATCCATACCACCTCTCTCCAAAGTTCAAACACACACACACACACACACACAACACACACACACACACACACACACACACACACACACACACACACACACACACACACACACACACACACACACACGACCAAGTGGAGTTGCAGTGCGTCCCTGTATCTCTTTTAATCCTTTTTCCACTCCCCCCTCCATTTCTTTTTTCACAGGACCTATCAACGCCATTCCTTGCTACTATTTATAGGAGACCACTGTCCCCCCTGTCCCCCTGCCTGAGTGTAGTTCTGTGTGTGTGTGTGTGTCCTTGTGTGTGTGTTTCAGGGTACCCATAATAAACCAGTGCTTCTCACTCTTAATCTCACTGAGGTGGGATTCACTGAACAGGATATATTGTAAAGCCAGTAACAAAGATAGGTGTGTGTGTTTTGGAGAAGGGGGGGGGGCCGGGGGTGGTTTGCATGAGGCTGATTTATCCCACCTGTCTAGTTGTTTCCGGTACGTACGTGTCGTTCCATGACTGACTACTGAAATGTACGAAGGCCTGGGAACACGCAAATCATCCCTAGAAAGTTGGAAAGTGTGTGTATTTATTGCCTGGTATTTGTCAGTGCATGTGCTCACGCTAATTGCAAATACTTTTTGTGGGATACCGACACGTGGCTCGGTACAGTCCAGCTGCTTCACGTGCGTGCTGCAGTGTGCAGGCCCTCCAGCCTGATGGAAGGCTGTGGTTATTGATTTATGAGCTCACAGTTAAAATGTGCCCTGCTTTGTGGTATAATCAGCAACTGACACATTAGATCTTGACACCATCCTTTTTTATGCATTTTAAAGTTGTAGGTCATTTTATGGGGAAACGTGGGGGTTGAGTAAAGTTATGAATGACTTTCTTTAAACTTTTACAGACTGAATGAAGCTTTCGATGGTACATTATGAGTGTTTTAAAGCGTATCTATGTTGCTAAATAGAGGCTATAGTTTGACGTTGGAAAGCAGGAAATATCTTCTTTAACTTTCTGATGATAAAGGTGCTGTTGTCACCACTAAAACTGAACAAAGCTATATTTTTACATAAACAATGGATCAATAAGACTTGTGTGGAAGGGGTCTTTCATAATAACACACACACTGGTAATCTTTAGCCAACTCTGCAGTTCCCTTTATCTCTACTGAACATGTTACGGCTTTTTAACCCACTGCGCACAATTTTAAGTTAGCAACAATCTAGTGAACACAGAGGAGCATTTAGAGGCTAAAGGGCCAGATATACTTTCTCAGGAGTAGGTGGAGACCAAAACAGAGTTTAATATTGGAACTACACTTGTTTGGTGATCACAAACATGACTCCAAATGAATGTTGATACGTATTTGTTACCTGAATGGCAAGTGTTTGCTAACATGCTAACATTTTGGCTGAGACATCACAAGCAAAAATATGTGAATGTATAGTGTTTAAAGTTAAATTCTATTGCATCAGAGTATCCAGTACTACATCTCTTGTTATAGTTGTAAAGAAACAAACGTTATTTAATCACACTTCCTGTTTGCATGGCCTCACCACAGCTGCAAAACTATAGATAATATAGATGAGAGTAGGCTTTACAAGGCAATAAGCAGTATTATAATTGTCTCACAGGCTCAATCGGATGATTTGAATAGATGGCAATCATCCTTTATGAAGTAAGTACACAATATAACAAAAACATGTTTTATTTAATGTGCAATTGTGAAGAGGACGGTGACAGCTAACATTATATTTACTTTAGGCAACTGCCAGCGACAAAAGGGGAGTTAGAGAAAGATGAAGGAAAGCGGCATGCAAAGAAAAACAGAATGAAGAGGGTTAACACGAATAACAAGCAGAAGGTGAATGTGTTCTTATGTATTTCCGTGTGTGTGTGTGTGTGTGTGTGTGTGTGTGTGTGTGTGTGTGTGTGTGTGTTTGTGAAAGCAAGAGAGGAGAGCGAGACGGGGGGCATGGCAGGAGTGACCATGTGTGTTTGACAGGAGTGTTTTTGTGGATGCTTTCGCTCTTTCTCCCCCGATATTGTCTGGAGTGGATTGTGGAGGCGGCAGCTCTGAGAACAGCTGCTTCTGACAAACACTATGTGTGTCACTTGGGGATTGAGTGTATGTGTGTGTATGTATGTGATGAGGGGGTGGTAGGACACTTTCAAAAAGAGGAGACTAAACCATCTTTCTAATAACCCTTCAGTCTGTTTCAGATGTCACATGGCCACTAGAGAGATGAGTCCTCTTTTGGTTGAAACATAGTCAAAAACAGATCAATTAACCCGTACTGAACTTTTTTTGAACAGAGGCTTCCTGTTTATATGTCGGAGCAGAGACTGATATTGACCTTCTGCAATATCAAACACACCCTCTGAAAATGATCGCAGTGAATGGTAATTTATTCTTACAATTCAACCGTGTCTGTGGCTGCTTGTGCATGTATGAGCCGATGAACTGTGTATACAGCTGTGTGCGTGCATGAAGTATACAATATGTTAATGTGTGACTGTCAGTGTGAGTGTGTGCATGCATGTGTGTGTGTGTGTGTGTGTGTGTGTGTGTGTGTGTGTGTGTTTTGTTGCATGATAGCAGGCAGGTATCACTGTCCTCCGTTATAAGCATAGTCTGCCTTGTTGTGCATGACCAGTCTGTTCTCCACGAAATAGAAGCTGTCTGACCGGGTCTCATAAGGACACTCCACCATCTGACGAACTGAAAGAAAGTTGGTGTTAACTTTTTAGGTTAAAGCATTTAAGACATTTTCAGAAGTATTTATCATTTCTGTCTTAAAGAAATTAACCGCACCCAGAAATGACCATTTGTATATCAATCGCTCAGCCTGTGTTACCTTGAAGTCTGGAAGAAATGTGTGTTTTTCCTGCATGGTGAAATTAGAATCCAATTAAACAGAAAGTGGGTCAATGTTAAACATCAACAAAACTATACAAAACATCTGCTTATAAAGTTTTACACGAATAGTACAGTATAATCCAAGTTTCATTATCCAGTCCCATGTTCACTAACATATGCATTTTGTTAAAACTATTGAAAACACTATGGACGTCGCTCAAGTATGAGACTGTTTGTGCAGAAGTGTAATAAATAGTAAGGTTTTAGCGAAAATGCATATGTTTTGATGACAGTGAGCATACAACAGAACTGATTAGAATTAGATTATCCTGTACAAGTTTTGTGAGTGGTTGTAAACAAATGTTTTGTTGTTGTTAGACGCAGCCCCCTTTTATTTCAATTCATCAATCATTTTCTCCTAGGATTCTTCTTTCGTTGTGAAGTCATGCTAGAAAGAAAGATGTCCTTCAAGGTAAAACAGGCCAGGGTGATTATTGATAAACAAAAGATCATTTTGTGGGTCGATGGTAAACTTCATATGTTACTAGCATGCATCATGTACGTTAAATGAGTCTTTGGTCACTGTTTCATTCCTCCTCTGTACTGCCCATGAAACAGTCCTCTCCCAAAGCAACCACAGACAAAAATAACATGGAGGACAAAATCCACAGTCCTTGTTCTAATATGATCATCTAGTATGAGGCTTTGGCAGTCTAAGTTAGCAAAACAAAGTGGGTATCTTCCAGGTTTAAAAAAGAATAAGACGACATTCCCTCTCTGTGCTTCCTGGACAGCGTTACCTTGCTGAACTGCAGCAGAGGGATACTTCCTGGTGGTTGTCGGTTTGATGCTAGGACTCAACAATGGAAATAAATAACCTTAGGTAAAGTACAGCGAAGACCATAGCCAGTTTAAGAGGGAATCTCAGACTGCTGAAGCCTCACCTTAAGTTCAACTAAACTTTAGTAAGCATTTTTTACAGAACTGTTGGATTTCACTCCCTTTGTTATGCCATGTTGTTGCAGTAGGGATATCACAGGAACTATTGCTCAACTCTTTTGACACACATATGTTTGTAGATATTGAGCGTTTTTTCTCCTCAATATGCACATTTATGAAGCAGGATATTCAAACATGTCTATTCAGAGTCATCGCCTCTAGTCTTTGCATACAGACAGACACCCTGACTCCAATGTTACTCCATCCTAAATGTCCCATATACCACAGTAGGGGGTCATAAAAATGATTCTATAAAATAAATTATTCATCACACAGCATAAAAGTAAAAAATACCGTATGCTAAGTTGATCAAAATGGTCAAATAACTGGTCGTAAAATATTAAAAATGATGTTGTTGACTTTCATCACCTACCGCATTATTTATTTACTTTTGTTAAATTTTAAATTGACAGATGAGAAAAAAAGAGTCACATATTTAATTTACATTCTTATAATTTCTCACAATGTCTTAACTGTCCTTGTGGCATCTGCATGGTACACAGATCACAGAAAAACAAGTCAGTCGTCTAAAGTATTCACTGTTTGGATAAGGGGATACAATGCATCAAATATACTGGAAATAATACATATTATTTTTATATATTTGTATTTCAGGATTCCTTTAGGTTTTAATCCTGTGTGAGGGAAAGCGACTCACCCAGGCTCTCAGACAGCTGAGGGAACTCGTAGATGTGCTCACAGGTGTTACGGCTGTTTGGGATACAGAAGCCAAAGTCAAAGTCGAAGCTCTTCAGTAGGTGATCGCGGAAGTAGTGCCTCTCGATCATGCGGAAGTTGTTTAAAGGCCGGTTTCCAACTGTGAATTCCACCCTGAAAGAGAGATAGGCAGAGAGGAGAGACTGAGATTTTACACTGTGCTTGAGTAATAATTAAGTATTACAGTCTGCACTGGGTCCAATTACTTTCTAGCGCCCAGTGACGAAGCTGTAATTGTTTCCTTTGTTTGTGTATGGAACAGGTGAGTGTGTTCTCCTTAGGTGTGTGTTGTTGGTGAGTCACTCACGTAGCTCCCACGGTCCTCAGTCTCAGGAAGGCTGGAGTGAACTGGTACCGTACGAATCGGCCTGCGCTGGCGTCTGCCTCTCGGTGCTCCTCATCGTCCTCTAACACCCAGATCATACGACAGAGACATTTAAAATAAATACACTGAGGGATTATTTGGGATCAAATGTACCGCTGATGTTTATGAACCTGTCAACATACTTGTAGGCATCCATTTTGAGATAATCACAAGAACAAGAGTCTATGATTTCATTGTAAAGTACTCAGAAACCAGATACAACAGCTTAATTAAAGAGCAAACTCTCAAATAAAACAGTACACGGAGGCGGATGCACATTACCTGTGTGGGGGGGTTTGGCAATCTCAAACAGGACTGTGCCTGTCTCCAGGTCTCTGATCTTAAAGCGTACAAAGTCGACGTTATAAATATTATCTTCGGGTTTACAGAGGTACCCTGCAACAATGAAATACACACAGATGTCAGGAGTTTAAAACAATGAAATGATTTACAAGCCATTGGAGCTCATGTGTACAAAGGGCCGATTTGACATGCGCAAAGATAACATTCAAAACACTAAGCTTGACTTTGTTTTTACACATGCAATTTGCATTCGGATACATATCCTACCAAACCACAAAATAAGATGAGATAACAAAATGTTTTTTTATGATCACTGTGTAGCTAGTATTACAGAGATATACAGGGGGAAAAGCATGTGTGAAACCATCAAGAATATATCACACGTTGTGCCACCGGAGAGAATAAAAACACTGATTGTGACTTAAAATGTCATAAACACTCCCCCTTGGCTCCAGTGTGATTTTCTTGCAAATTGCATATTTTGCCCTATCAGCTGTAAATGTAGGTCATATGGCAGAATGTTCTGGCATTGTTTTTTTTTAATCGTTTTTCAGGACACACAGAGTGATTTACTGTAAATCCTGGCTGTGATGTCACATTTATTCTCTGAGAGGTTTGATTTCTTCTTGCAATTAAAGTGACACCATACAAACGCCTCCTATAATTAAACCCCAGTGTGCATTGAGATGCTTAAAATAGGAACACCAGGTTTTTCCATGACTGAAAGATTGTCAAATGCAGTCTAACAATTCTTAATGATGTCAGGTATGTAATGTCTCGGATACATATAACATAATTATAACAAATCAAATATAAAACAGGATATTTTAGTCGTGTCTCCATTATACCTGAAAGCCATCCATATAAGCCTGTTCACCTACACGTCATTGGCTCTAGTTTTACGTAATGTGTGCATTTAATATATTCTGTGGGTTGTAGTAGAAAACGTTACGTTATGTTCAGCACAGGAAGCAAATTAAACATTATAGGTCCACTTAAACCCACAACAAGAGACATTAGAGAGAGGAACATCCAAACCTCTCGTAGCCCCCCGCAGTCCCAACACATCCTCCGGGGTGATATGTCCACTTTGTGTCCGCAGGTCCTCCTCCGTGACGGGCCTGCTGTCCACCTGACTGCGCCGGGACTTCAGCCTCTTCAGAACCCCTCCGCCAGGCTTGCGGTCCCGCGGAGGAGCTGCAGTGCCGTGCCCTCCGCCGGGGACATTTTCAGCAACAGGCGCGTCGCTGCTACGGGCTTTAGCTCCGCTCATCGTGGCCTCCTTTTCGTCGGCTTCCCCTTCTGTTTCAACGAGTGTGTCTCCGCTCTTGTCTCCTGATAAATGCGATAGGAAGAATAAGATGGCGTCCCACTCCCAGCGTTAGATGTCGAGTGTCGACAGAAGTGTCGGTGAACGGTCAAGCTCTTGTTTTTGTAAGCACATGCTGTACAGTTGCCATGACAACTCGTCCGGTGAGCCAGAGGAGGATGTGGTGTCATTCAGTGGAACGTCCACCAGGGGGCGCGCTTCAGGAACATACGAGAATATACTGGAGTGTTTTCATTCATTATCACTAATACTACTGCCACTAATGGCACTAATTAATAATAATAATCAATGGTGAAAGTAAGGATTTTTTAAGAATCAGAGAAAAAGCTAACCTTGAGTGTGTATGCAATGTCTCCCATAGGATTTGTATACTGCATATCTGTACATTTCTTTTACATTAAACGTGTAAAAGTTCACAGCTTCCAATACTTGATTATGCTCCTTTCTGACAGCCTTTTTACCATCATAGGGCCTTATATATTTAATGGCCACATTGGACTTTCCTAAAAGAAAATGAAATATATAGAAGAAAGATAAACTAAATTTCCAAACAAATAGTTAAACCGATAAAGAACATGTCCATGTATAGGCTGACCCAAGCATATAACATTCACACCAAAGAAGATGACACTCATTTCAGAGTGTAAACAATGTTTAAACTAAACTTGACTACGTATTATGTTGGTGCATTATTACCGTTTATGCACTAACATTGTAATACTTTAGCTGGTTGAGGTGCTACAGAAATACCATCTTATCCCAATATTGAATGATTTGAAAGACAATTAGACAACCCAACTAACACTCACATTTACCCTTAACACAATCCACATTCAGATGAAAAAATCCAGGTTTTATTTCTCAAATTTGCTTCATGGCCGAGATTATTTCTCTTGCTTGTGACGTTTCCATAAAGCCGATACGCAAATGATACACTGTAAAGGCCCAGGTGTTATGCAAATGAAGGTGTAGAGTTAGTGATTGCTGATGGGCACTTCCTGCTGTTAAAATGCCCCTGGAAGCATCCCCCAGTACTCTCCATTGAGCATGGAGAGCTGCATTAATCCAACTCCTTTTAAAATTTTGAAAAGTAGCTTCTTGTCTCAATTAGAACCTGTTAATCCTGTCTATTCAACAGTTTACTAACATCAAGCCACAATGAATTTGCAGAGCACTTCCGGTCCGATCTTAAAAAATAAAAGATGCCACAACTCTCCAAATAAAAAATTCAACCTAAATTTAAAATCATGGTGAGTCACTCTAAGCATTACAGACATGTCTTGTTTTACAAAGTGATTATTGGTTGCCATAACAATCTATTTTAGTCATAGTCCTCCCAGATTTCTTAAATGTAATGCCTGCCTGTTCCATTTATTTAGGTATACATTAAAAAATACTAAGCAATTTAAAGGGAACCTATCATGCAAAATGCACTTTTGTACGTCTTTTATACATGAATATGTGTCCCCGGTGTGTCAGGGAACTCACCAAGTGTCAGAAAACACAACCCTCTCTCTTTTCCTCCAAAATTTACCCAAATCTCTAAAAACGGATCTGATACAGACTGATACAGATTTTAAATATCTCTGACGTCAGAAACGAGGAGCTCCGCCTATATGGGCAACTCTCCACCTATCAGGAGGAGACAGCCACGGCCATTGCCGTTAGAAAGCGCTGGAGACGCTGTAGTACATATGCCAGGCCTGTAGGTGGCGCTGTAGTCTGCCACAAAAACAGCGAAGAAGACTTCTCACAGATTCAGCCCTTGCAAAAACAGGGCTAAAAAAGAGCAAATAGAGCGAAACGAGGCATGGCTAAAATGCATGATCTGTTTGGTATTTTGAAAAATACATGTTTTATACAGGTATGGCCCTACAATATATTGTAACGTTCACAGGTGGAGCCGGAAACAGGCTTCAAGTTATTAAGCTTTAATAACTCTTCTTAGCTTATAGGAATACAGGTACAGGTACAGGTACAGGTACAGGTACAGCTTGGGGTTTCCACCTTACACAACTATAACTCCCACACACACACCTATATATACCAGTGTCTACGTCACCACCTCCCCGCCCTCCCCCGTCCGCTCCCCCAACCACAGGCCCGCACCTACGACCAGCATCCTCTGTGATTGGCCAAGAGACGGGGGATGCCTGAGTGACACCCTCAGCCTCCTATACAGGGTCGCTACAATATTATTCAAATATAGCATGATGGGTCCACTTTAAGTATTGTGGTTACCTCAGTGTTTTGATTATGATTACTCATGTGGGTTATCTATGCATTCTCAGTCAAGTCTGCTAATCCTGTCTTTGTATCTGCCTTGCATAAGTTCCTAATAGGCAGGGGCGCCTCCCAAGGCAGGCAACTGCTTGGGGCCCTGGACCAGAAGGGGGCCCCCAAAGAAGGTAGATTAAGAATGTCCACAGCAACGACAACATGAAACACCCTTTAATCGAGGTAACAGGAAACAAAGCGTACACACACACACACACACACACACACACACACACCACACACAACCACACACACACACACACACACACCACACACACCCTCTCGGTCTTAATAGTAGGGACAAAACCTGATTTTTAATCTTTCCTTTTTCAGGGACAAGTTTCTTAATTGGAAATTAGCACTATAAACGTTAGTTTCCGCGTGTAGCGACGATACATTAGCCTCCACTAATAGAAACAAATCGTCTACGTGTTGGTTAAGAATACTTATATGTGTGGGAGACACGCACTCTATAATTCTATAGTACACACAAATAACTATTTCATGCCTTACCTTTAAGTTTATTTCCTACATAAAAAAAAATATAATTACGATCGAGGAAGAACCGAAAAGGAGACTCTACAACTCACTCACACGTATCTCCTAGTCGGTTAAGGGGGCACCCCTAATATTTGTTAAGTACAATAGATATGAATTATTATAAAGTTATAAAAAGTATAAAAATAGAGTACCGTAGTACTTATTGCATAAGACAAAACAATCCTTCAAGAGATGTAAGGTCCCTCCCGTTTTTACACTTACATAGATGATATAAAGGTAGACTATCCAACACATAGAGGGGTCTGACAAGATACACCATAGATGTCATCTCGATGTCCTGTAGTGAAATTTTTTGTTTTACAGGCTGACATATACAAACACACTTAACTATAAGGCAAAAAATTACTCATTTGCACACTGACGTTAAAGCAACTACTCTAAATTTTTATGGAGGTTTTATCAATACTTAACCAACGAATTCCCAGGAAGAAATTTGCGACTGTAAGTCATGCGTACAGTAGGCTCAAACCCCCCAACACTGCCCGTATTGACATACAACATTCCGTCTACGGATAAACGTGGCTTATCACTTGTTATATAACGTGGGTTCTGCCCACCCCCCCCCGCCCCCCCCGCCCCCCCCCACATTTCCCCCAAATTCCGTCCCCACCCACATTTATCGGCTTATGGAACACATAAAGGTTGGGCCACACTTTATCTGTTATACTAAATACCTAAGGGGAAATGTTTTGACGATAACTTGTGTCATTTGACAAACTGTGTTACAGGTTTTACATAAACTCACACACCTATAAGGTCACCTTCTTCGTCATAAAAACCTCTTGTCTGTATTTTTTTTACTGATAGTCATTTATTTGCATTACCAGTCAAGTGGTAATTTCCCGTTTCGGACATTTGATCAAGTTCTCGTCAGTTGAGCTTCTGGTTACTATGTTGTGCTGACCTGCGCAGAGAAGAATGTTGGTTGGTTTTGTGTTAGAGGATTGAACGGCGAGATTAACTTCGGACGGTCTAGACGGACGGGAACGGAGCGGATTACGATGCCGGACAGTGTTAATGACTACGCAAGTGCACGACGAACGGACGGTGGTGGTGGGTCGAAGTGACACTCCGAGCCCCCTCTCATGTCCATTAGATTAGTAGTGAGTTACGATACATCTTAGACACACCCTCCACCCCCGGCTCAGGATCTGCGGTTTTGAGTTGATATACCCCGACGAGATGCATTTGTATAATTCTTGTGCACTCAACAGATGACTTGAAATAAAATGACACAGTTATGAAGACTAGAATTTCTTTCTACCTCTAATTTATCTCTACCTATAATTTCGTACAATACTATTAATCATTAGTTTAATGAATGTGTAACGAGTATAAGAGGGTGTGTGTACAGTCCCCACCATAAGACGGAACTGTCCAGAAAAGATTAGTGAGACTATTCTTTCATAAATATTATACTTAGGACTGTAAGAGTCCGTTGTAATTTGTGTTTTCTTTCGAAGATGTATAATTACTGGTGGCAGGAGAGACATAGATTAATAGAGTTAATCACAAATTCCGAATTACCTCCCCTACCGTCCTCTTTCATTACGACATTACCTCTTCCAAAAAAATGGTTGAAGTGACGACGGATTAATTTAAGGGAGGAGTAGAAACAGTTATCTTTGATATTATACACAAAGCAAACGGACTCTCGAACCGACACCCTATTCTCACCTACCACGCACTCTTATTTGTTGTAGATAAAGGTCTAGAACCTGACCATAGTTCGAAATGTGACTAAAGGTCACAACCGAAAGAAGAAGATTAAGACTTTACCGATACGCACAATTATTTGGTTACATAGAGAATGAACAGACCGAGAGAAAAGTTTTAGTACATAGGATTTTTTTACTACTTTTTAAGGTAATACGAGACAGTGTGTAAGTTTGATCTTGAAAAAAGAGGAGAAATCGGTGGAGAGACGACGGAAGACAAACCTGACGTTACATTGCCATTTGTTTAAATATATTCGTGTCTCTCGTCCTAGAGAATCGTATCTCAACTACGACAGTTTATACAATTTATACCTCATAAAACGGGAACGTAACGACTGTTGGTGAAAAGCATTAACTCACTCACACACTCACACAACCCCCAAGACGTTTGGGGGAGAAAATTGTGAGTAAGATTAAGCGAGAACAGGAGGGTGGGCATATACACGACAGTTGTTGAAAGTATAGATAGTAACGGTAAGGTCGAATAGAGTGAAAAGACCCAGGACACGTGAAGAGGATAAAGAAAGAAGCGGAAGGAGGCCGACGATTCATCGATTTTCTTTATATACGTTTGTTTGGCCGACCGGGACATTTCCTTTCCGTTCGTTAATACAATAAAATGACATAGTTGTTGGCAATAGACAGTTTAATTTTGTCAACGTTTTTTTTTTCTTCGAATTAAATCAGAAATCAATTACCCCTTACTAAATAAAGGTTCTTTACAAACAATCTCGTGTAGTTACTAGGAACGACCTTTTGGAATGTCTAGGACAGTTTTGTATTATCCACTATTGGTTCCTAATCATT